TCACCCTGCTGAGCGAGGATCGCGGAGCTGGAGCTGGAGAAGAGGAGCCAGGACGGGGCCCGGTGAGCGCTGGCGGTGGGCTGGACGTGGGTGGGGTGTTTTTTTGTTTTTGCTTCCCTTAAAAATTTTATGCGATTTAAACGTTTTAGCCCTCACTGATTTTGCTCAGTGGGTAGAGTGTTGGCCTGTGGATTGAGGGTTCGATTCTTTTTTTAAAAAAAAATATTTTTTGTTGATTTTTCACAGAGAGGAAGAGAGAGGGATAGAGAGTTAGAAACATCAATGAGAGAGAAACATCGATCAGCTGCCTCCTGCACACCCCCGACTGGGGATGTGCCCGCAACCAAGGCACATGCCCTTGGCCGGAATCGAACCCGGGACCCTTCAGCCCGCAGGGCGACGCTGTATCCACTGAGCCAAACTGGTCAGGGCGAAGGGTTCGATTCTTGTCAAAGGCATGTACCTTGGTCGCAGGCTCCTCCCTGGCCCGGGTCCTGGTCGGGGTGCGTGCAGGAGGCAACATCGATGTTTCTCTCTGTCTCTCCCTCTCCCTTCCACTCTCTCTAAAAGTCAGCAGAAAAATATCCTCAGGTGAGGATTTAAAAAAAAAAAAAAGATTTAAACATTTAAAAAATACCCAGGATATAGTTTATCCATATTTACTTAAAATTCTTGGTAAAATATACGTAACATAAAATTTATCATCTTGACTCTTTTCAAGGGTACAGTTCAGTTGGTTGTGGGTGCTCGTGTTGTGCAGCCAATCTACGGGTTTCTTAGTGGTGACGTTTCTCCTTGTTCTGTCAGTGGTTGAGTTTTGTATGAGTAAGATTCTTTGGGTTGCAAGGGGCAGAAATTCATTTTAACTGGCTTCGAAAAAGGCAGGACATTTATTGGCTCATGGAACCAAGGGACAGCAGGAATTAGATAATTAGCTTCAGGTATGGCTGGATCCAGGTGCCCAAGCCAGGTTATCGGGAGCTGCTTTTCCCACCCACCTCTCCCCCGTCCCTCTCTCCCCTTGCTCCACTCTCCTCTCTGTTGGCCTCATTCAAGGCAGGCCCACTGTTCTCATGGGGGGCGGGGTCCCCCAATATCCATTCCAGGTCCGTGGGCCTGCTCAGCTCAGCATACTCCAGACGAGGCACTTCTTTGCTGGCAGAGGTGCCACACTCATGGGCTCTCTGGCCTTCACGCCTTTTGCAGAAGTGAACCCTGTGGCCCAGGAGAGGGGCAGGACCAGACTGACCATGCTCCACCCTGGATGGAGTGTCACCCCCGGGTGTAGGAGTAGGTGGGCCTCCGAAGGAGGCGGGGTGCCCTCAGCAAAAGGACTGGGCACAGAAATGAGGTGCGGCACAGAACATCGGGCGTTCCAAGAAGTGTGTGAAGAGAGGGTTGTGGGGCAGACGCCACCTCGCCGCCCCACGCTCAGCCTAGCGCGGCAGCGGCCAAGGAGGCAGTGATGGTGCCGGCGCCTGGGCGAGCCTCCTCTAGCGCTGCTGCTACGCACGTTTCTAAAATTGAGACCGTTCGGCCGACAGTGTTCAGTTTCCACTTAGTGTAGTGTCTTTACTAACCAGTATTCAGGTTTTTTTTAAAACGTCGCAAATGTTTTTGATTTAAGACATTTTTTTTTTTTTAGTTAATTTTATTTTTTTGTTAGTCCTCACCTGAGGATATTTTTTCCCATTGTTTTTCAGAGAGAGTGGAAGGGAGGGAGGGAGAGAGGGAGAGGCATTGATGTGAGAGAAACATCGTCTGGTTGCCTCCTGCATGCGCTGCCACCCAGGTGCAAGCCCTTGATCGGGAATCGAACCTGAGACTCTTTGGTGGACGCTCTAACCACTGAGCCACCGGCCAGGGCAACGTTTATGTTTTCTAAATGTTTCTCACGGACTTGCCAGTTTTCGGCCCCTCGGAGGCCCGGCCGCCCATGACCCGTCCTCGCTGGTCAGGCGCCTGCCTTTGCCGTTCCTTGTTCCTTCTGGCTGTTGGGAACGATGTGACGTTTCTTCCCGGCCGCGGGTTTTCCTGGGGACCTGTTCCGGGGTGGGGTGCTGGGCAGAGCAAGGCCACGCTCTCAAGGCTTTTTGTCTGGTCAGCGGCCCCCAGGGAGCTGGGACAGGTGCCGCCCCGTCCCCCTCAGGTGTGTGTTTCGTTGTTTTTCTAAAGTTCGTTGCTGTCTTTTGTTTAAATGGTTTGGTGTAAAAAAAAAAAGTTAACTTTTTTTTCAGAGGAAATTGAAAACCCTCTTAATCCTACCAACCGGTGGTGGGTTTTCAGGGGGGACCACCGAGGGGGCTGAGGAGGGTCCGTGGTTTGGGGGCCGCCGCCCACCCTGGTCCCTTTCGCACTCCTGCCTCATTTCCTGTTTGGGACCCCACGTCCCCTCATTCAGCAAATGCTTACCAGGCACCTGCCGTGTCCTGGCACGGTGTTGCTGTGAGGCCCAGCACTGCCTGGTGGGGACAGGAGGGGGTGCCCCCACTGGGACGGAGACACAGCAGGTGGAAGGGGGTCTCCCAGGGGATGGCCAGGGAGGCCCCTCTTGATAAGGGGACCTGAGGAAGGCGAGGGAGGACGGCTCTTCCGGGGAAAACCATTCAGGCCACAGGAACAGCAGGTGCAAAGGCCCTGGGGTGAGTGTCTGGTGCGCTGGAGCGAGAGCAGGGAGGCCGGGGCTGGAGTGGCCTGGGAGGGGAGAGGTGGCGAGGAGGTGGGGGGGCAGTTTTGGGGGGGCTTTCCCTTTGAGTGGAGAGTCATTGGAGGGCCGTTCTGAGCTGGAGCGACAGGATCGGACCTAAGCAGGGTGGCTGTGGGGCTGCGTGGAGGCCCAGGCGAGGCCCTGGGTCCAGGCCAGGTGGGGTGACAGGAGGTGAGGAGCAGAGGTTCTGAGGAAGGAAGTTCAGGCGGGGCCAGCAGCCTCTGCTGCCGGGCGGGATGGGCATGTGGAGGGATCCACGGGGCTGGCCTGTTTCTGAGCTGGGGAAGCTGTGTGTGGGGGGGCCGTTTGGGCGGGAGAACAGCAGTTGGTTTGGACACGGGCCTCTGAGGTGCCATGCAGCGCTGTGCGTGGTGTGGGGCTGGGGCTGGGGCGGAGCTGGGACGGAGCTGGGGCTGGAGCTGGGGTGGAGCTGGGACGGAGCTGGGGCTGGGGCTGGGGCTGGGGCTGAAGGAACTGAGCGCCAGTCCCCGTGGGTTTCCCTTCAGAGTGGGCTGTGGGGCCAGTGGGTGAGCAGGGGGCACTGCTCCCATGGCCACGCCACTTCCTGGAGCCGCCAGGCCTCCCACGGGGCTGCCCACACCGAGTGAACACGCCTCCCTCCCGCCTGCCGCCTCAGCCCGGGACTGCCCTGGCCCCGTGGGTGCCGGCACACGTCAGGGTTCTGGCCCCGGTCGCCCCACCTTAGTGAAGCCAGCAGGCTGTGTCGCAGGGTCCCGGAGGCTGGGGTCCGAGAGGCAGGTGTGGGCCGGCTGGTTCCTCCGAGGCCTCGCTCCTGCGTGTAGACGGACGTGTTCTCTGTGCCCTCACGTGGCCTCCCCTCTCTGTCTCCGTGGCCTCATCTCCTCTTCTGAGGATGTAGTCATATTGGTGAGGGCCACCCCAGGACGTCACTTTACCTTGACCACATCTTTCAAGACTATCTCCAAATGAGGTCACATCTAGGTACTGGGGTTCAGACTTCAACGGGTGATTTTGGGGGGCACAGTCACCGTCGCAGCTGGCACTGGTCATCAGGCTGCGCTGCAGTCTCGGTCCTGAGAGCCCCAGCAAGACTGGCTCTTGGGAGGGGGAGGGGGTGACACAGCCCCCGTGGGCCCCTCCTCCGCCCCGGAGCAGCCTTACCCAGCAGCCGAGGGTCCTGCGAGGCCTTGAAGGGTGTTACACGGGCGTCACCTCAGGGCGGGTCTCGGGTTCCCTCTGACACCCCCACGGGAGCTGATGGGGTTCACCGCTGGGCGGCCTCAGTTTCCTTCAGGAGAGAGAAGAGCAAACCCGTGGCTCTCAGCGCAGTGACAGGCTGGTCCGGCTGGGAGCGCTGCTGACACCTAGTGGGCAAGGCCGGTGCGGCTGGGCGCCCGCCAGGCAGCTGGGCAGCGCCCGCCGAGCCCACCGGAGGGGGGGTGGCCCCAGAGTGAGGAGCCGGGTTGTTCATGATCATTCATGTCGGCTTCGTGGGACCGTACACATGGGACAGTCACAAAAGCAATCATGTGTGACATTCCAGAGAAAACGTCAATTACATGAGAACTCACGTTCACTTGGAAGCAGTCGGATAGTGATCACTGTGGGCCTCTTCTCCTCCCTGCTGGGCGTTCGAGGGGGGTTGGCTGCAGCGCCCCGCAGTCCTGTCCCCGGGCGCACAGCGAGGCGGCGGCTCACCGGCCTCTGTCGCAGGTGCGGAGCGGGGCCTGGCGGCGCGGCCCTCGCTGGAGAGCCTGCTGGTGGCCAGCAGCCACATGCTCAAGGAGGTGCTGGACAGCCCCTTTGTGGACCCGCTCAAGAGCCTGCGGCTCCCGCGGGAGCTGAACCCCAACAAGAAGTACAGCTGGATGCAGAAGAAGGAGGAGCGGGTGAGGTTCGGGGCCCACGCTTCCTGCCCGGGGCCTGTGCGGTGGGGCTGAGACGGGTCCCCAGAGACGCCGCCGTGCGGCATGGCTGGCTTTGGAGTTGGAGGGGCCGATCCAGGTCCAGCTTCCACCACTGGCTCCTGTGCGGTCCTGGGCAAGCTGTTGTTTACATCTGGGCCTCGGCTCACCTGCTGGGCGTGTCCCCTGGCGGCAGCCTGACGGGCCGGGAAGGGGGGGCCTGGCTGTGCCCCTCACTCCCTGGGGGCCTTGGGCGGTGGCTTGGGTCTCTGAGCTCCACCTGTGGCGGGTGCTGTGGTGGCCGCACTGCCTGAGCTGCTGTTACGGGTCAGTTGGCCTTGACGCAGCCGCCAAAGCTGGTCTTCCGGTCTCTGTCGTGCAGATGAGGTGTCTGTTTTGCCCAAGGCCACGGTCAGAAGGCGGCAGAAGTGGGTCTGAGCTAGGCACCTGGTCTTGGCCATGAAGCCTCGCCGCCCCCTTGTCTGAGCAGGCGGCGGGAGCCGGTGGGTGTCGGCGTCCTCACCCCCCCTCTCTCCCCAGATGTTCGCCATGAAGTCCTCCCTGGAGCACATGGACGCCATGGAGCTGGACTTCCGCATGCGGCTGGCCGAGGTGCAGCGGCAGTACAAGGAGAAGCAGCGCGAGCTGGTGAAGCTGCAGCGGCGCCGCGAGTCCGAGTGAGTGCCCCGCCCCTGCCCTGCCTCTGCCCTGCCCTGGGGCCTAGCGTGGCGCTCAGTAGGTCCGCGGTGTAGGCCGGCCGAGGTGTGTGTGGACCCGAGTGACGGGCGCATCGTCTAGCCAAGCGTGTGATTCTTTTTAAGGGACAGGCTCGAGGAACCCCATAGGAGCTTGGCACGCAGAGGCCCTGGCAGGCCACGGAAACGGACCCACGCCCCGAGCGCCCTGTCGCCCCCCCGCAAGAGAGGGAAGAGCCGCAACAGTAGCGGAAAGTAAGGCTGGCCCCTCGGTGGGTCGGGGACTGGCACAGAGCCCGGAGGGAGGCGCGCGGGCCCGCGCAGGGCCTGCGTCAGGGCGCGGGGACCGCGAGTCCCTTGGGCTCTGGCCCCCGGGTTTGCTAGGTCTCAGGGAGCAGAGGGTGAGCCAGGGGAGCGGCGGGTCGGATCAGACAGGCAGACTCCCCGCCGGCACGCAGCCCCTGGTCAGCAGCGGCAGTGACCCAGCGAGAGGTTTCCGCGCCGGCGCCCCAGTGTTTCTTTCACACCTGGTCCTGCCACGCCCGCTTCCTCCGTGGCGGCTTGCGACCAACTCCCGCTCTTGTCCCCGTGGAGGCCCGAGCCCAGTCCTGGGGGTGCGCTCCAGCTGGTGCGGTCACTCGGTTCTCCTCGTGCGGGTGGTGTCATTCCCGCACTCCTGGGTGACCTGCGCCACCTCCTTCGTGCACGCTGGGCACAAGCTCCGTGAGTGGCAGCGGGAGTTCGTGTGGCCCCTGGGGGTGTCTTGAAGGCGGGCCAGACCCAGAGCTTTTCCTGCGCTCCGGGCGGGGTAGGAAGGATGCTGTGGTCTCCCCGGGGCCGGAGCAGCAGGAGCTGAAGGAGGCCCATTCAGGGAAGAAAGAGGTGGCGTGCGCCTCAGCCCGAGACTTCAGTGCAGGCGACTAGGTGGCCGGGGCTTGGCCTGAGGGAGCAGAG